AAGCAGTCACGGCAGAGGGCCAAGAGTGGGCCGAAGCAGCAGAAGTGCTCGCACTACCTGAAGCAGCGGAAGCGGAAGTTCAGCCGGCGGAGGGAGACGGGGAAGGGCATGAGACATTGCCTGATCCTTGGTGGCTTAGGCTGCATATGGAAATACAGCGTAGCCTGTGCTGTTTCAGCAGGGTCAGGGTGTGATGCATGTTTTGCCACATCCCGGCCATGAGATGCTGAATTGCTGCGTTGCTTCATGGATCCAGGAGACAAAGTGCCTGGATCCTGGAGTGCTCGATTTAAATCTTCTTGCAAATGCAAGTGCGAAAGCGAAGCTGTCGGCTGCTTGAGGCCCCAGGCGACGATGTGGTCCGAATCATAGTCAGGTTATCGTCACAAGAATATGCAGGGTTAACCACTTTAATGATGGAAGAGCCAAGTGAAAGTGGCATGGAAGTGGGTTCGTGACTAGTGGCAATATCTGTACCATATTGAATCCGACTCCTCCCAGCCACTCAGAAAGTCGGGCTGGTGTCGCTTCAAGGCCTAAGGTGCAAACCCTTACACTGGCACGTTTGGGTTCGATACTCGTTGCGACTAACATTCTTCTGCTTCAAGATGCTTTTGCACAGCGACACTGATTCTGTCGTTATTGCTGTCCCACTCCCGTGGTGGCACCATCTCAATCCTAGCACACGCCAGCCGTGGCATGCATGGACGCCTCGTTGATTCCCGGGCTGCAGCTACTTCTTCCCTGGCACGCAAAGCCTTGACACCTGGACCAGGCTGTCGGTGAGGACGGCATCGCTGGCAGCACAGCTCTTTCCCGGTTAGGGTTGCCTTCCGACATTGCAGGTGGGCAGAAGTGCCATAGCTTGAGTTTCGCGAGTCCTGCAGCACACCTGGCCAGGTGCCTGCCTTTTCCTTTGCAGCCGCGCTGGCTCTTTCGTCACGGGCACCGAGTTCGCCCTTGATGGCGGTTCGCTGGTTAGTCGTGCTCCGAAGAGCAGCTACTGAGCGTTTCTGTTTTCGTTGTAGCACCGCCGAGAAAGTCTGAACACCAGCATCCCACTCTCTTGTGGCTCTGGCAGTTTGCTTCCAGATGCTTCCAGACTGTTTAAGTTTCACTGCCGGGTCTTTATTGCAGAGCTGAATCAGCTCCGTCTAGTGGGCTACGCAGAAGTCGCAGAAAGGTCACGACTGTGGCACTGTTCTGTTGCATGGGATACCATGAAGTGGTTGACTCCCCATTGCCTCAATCACCATCGAAGCCATCAGTGGCATCAAGCCAGCTAGTGCTGGCAGCAGGTGGAGCACGGGAGCATGTACCCGGTATTCACCAGGGGCAAACTCCCACAAAAAGATTGCACATGCACCAAAGCCATAGTCAGGAATCCTACAAGTCCACACCTTCATGCACCGACTCCTACATCAAAGAAGAATGTGAAGCATGCTGACCAAGGCAACATGCCACTGCGAGTCGAGCTGATTAAGTCATCGCTCATCCAACAAGGATAATTCCGATTGTGTGTCAAAGACGGCAACAGTTCTCTGCCGATGCTTGGTTTTCCTGCCACGGCTAGCTGACGGCCATGGTGCACATCTTGGTTTCACTTATTCGATTTGTTTTCATCATGGCTTATGAGCTCGTGCAAACTGCGAAGAGATTGCAGATGCCATGTGTTAGAAGCCGAGGTGCTGCCCGTGGGAGGCATGGGCTCCTCCATGGGGGGACCTCCCCCACAGCAGGCCTGAAAGCTTTGATCAGACACTGGGAGTCCAAGAGTGTCGGGCACTTTGTGGGCTTGGACTGAGATCGTTTGCTACCAGGTGCTCCTGACTATGCCGTACCTCAAGGCTGCCCTGGTCGCGGACAGCATCTTAGAGTCTTAGAGCGAGCCTTTCCAGAAGACTTGCTGAGAGAGGGCTTTGCATGGAAGTAGCACCCGGTCCGCCCACAGATGCGAATGTGTTTCATTTTTATCCGAGGTCACTCTTGTTGTTATCGGCGAGTTTGTGGCCACATACTTCAACGAGGATGCTGGGGACGGGTCATTCAGGCCCTCGCTGGTCAGCAACCTCTTTGCAAGCCGGCAAAAGGCAATATCGGACTGCTTGACGCCTTTGTTCGGCATCCTCGTTCTCAGAGATGCTGGGCGCTTGCAGTTTATGCGTCAGTCTGACTTTCGGCATGGCCCGCACACTGCAAATGGGCATGAAGTCGTGCACACTCGGGCGCTTGTGCGGAAAGTCTGCTTATGGACGATGACTCCCACGCTTCAGGTCACACAGGCTGGTCAGTGTGTGCTTTGCCTGGGGTGTGGCTGGCATGATTGATTTGCCAACAACTTTCGTGCCGGCATCCTAGCATCAATTCTGCCGCCAGGGTGATCTCGGGCATTTGTCTCAGCTATTCGTGGTAAATGCCCGGAGAGACTTTTGAGACGAAGCTGACGCAACAGTACTACTTAGTAGGGGCAAGTAGCGCAAGAACAAGATGGCAGAGACTCTTGGCGCCTTGGAGAGCATGGCATTTGTGCGAATCAAGGCTTCAATTGCCTGTCTGACCTGACATCGTCACGGCCCTGGAATCTACAGTCTCAGCTCGACATCACACAGCGGAGTTAGATTAAATCTCACCAGATGCCAGCAGGTTGATTTTGATCCTCGTCGGACAGCGCTACGTTCCTGGCGCAAAGCGGGGATCTTACAGCAAGCACCAATGAGACCGCTGAGGAGGAGGAGGAGGAGTGAGCTGTGTTTCGAGAGCTGAACGAACCAGCGTAGTGTTGAATCACCAGCCATGGCCATAGCTAATGAAAACGCAGCATTCAGTCGGCATTCCATTTTCTCAGGTATTTCTTCTCCACCGTGTGCTATGGAGACGTTGGTAGCTGAGAAGAACACTCAGCGAAGTGGGATTCCTGAAAGTAAACCGTGTCCAATAGTAAAAGCTGCTTGAAGGCTAGCTAGAGCCGAGGAGCATTCGTCCAAGAGACCGCCAAACCAGTCTGTACATAGCCTAGCACCATGATCTAGTGGGTGGCTTTTCACCCAAATGCCAGAAGCTCATCCGTGGACCCTGACATGAAGTCCGTCGCGTTTTCTACAAGATGTGCTATGTCTCTTGGAGCCATGCTCAGGTCCGCGTGTACGATCCGTCCACAAGAAAAACCCACACTGAGAACAGGGAGGCGCGGAGTCTCGCGAGCAGCTAGTGGCTAGCTATTGAGAGGCATGTCATCATGATATGTTCATACTTTACTAAACAAATCCGGATCCTCGCATCACTGTTTCAGCGGTGCTGTGGACAAGAGTCAAGAATGAAAGGCAATGGTATTGCATTGATCCGATCTGTATCGCCAGTTGTGCAGCTGGCGAACAGTCGTCGGCAACGCATGCATTGTGTCCGCACCTGATCCGTTTGTTCTGACCAGTTCCGGCCATACGGACTCCCCTGAGTCTCCTGAAAATGTGCAGTCCCATCGTTGTGGTGGTACTGGCATCTGCTGGCCAATGCAAGCGGGATCGGGACAGCTGGAGGAGAAAGGAGAGAAGAAGCCTTTGTTGAAACTCGAGGCTCGGAGTTCTGACCCAGCTGATCTGCTGCAGACTCAGCCGGGGCCCAATCCTTCAGAGGATCAGGTCTGACACAGGGACCAACTGACTGGCTACGGGACAGAATGTCCAGGTCTAAAGATCTTCCAAGCCTACCAGCGAGAGGGGATGAATGCCATGTGCGGAGCTGAGTATCCTTGGCAGTGCTGCTGTGGGTCATGCCCGGTTCTAGTCCTGCTTCATGACCCTCAGCAGCATCCTGCTGTGTGTGTGTTTGTGTTTATATTCGTTTGTCATGTGTGTTGCAAGAGCCGTTTCCATTGTTCCCATCATTATTGTGCATGTTGTTGCTATTGGTGTTGTCATGAAGTAGCGGTACGATGCCTTGCAACATGCAGAAGCAGCAGCAGGACCAATACCAGGAGTAGCAGCAGCAGCAGCAGTAGCACTCGTAATAGTATGAGTATTGGTATTAGTAGTAGATGGTAGTGGTAGTGGTAGTGGTAGTGGTAGTGGTAGTAGTAGTAGTAGTAGTAGTAGTAGTAGTAGTAGTAGTAAGCAGCAGTA